TGCGATGGTTAAATGCCTTTCTCGAGCCCAAGACCATATTCGCGTTGCGATCTGAGATAGAGCTGGACTTCTGGTGCCGCCACACCTGTTTACGTAGGCAACAGCTGAGGTGTTGTCCAATTCCAAGAGGATGTGCGCATTGTGAAGCTCCTTAGCAAAGGTCTTCAAGCCCAAAAAGGCTGCTTCTAATTCAAGACAATTTATATGAGCCTTAGCTTCCTCTTTAGTCCAGCGACCCCCCGCGCTGTGTCCCTCGCACACGGCTCCCCAGCCAGCTTTTGAAGCATCACTACTGATGATTCTATTATGGGATAGCGTCAACATTGAGAGCGGCCCTGCGTCTCCTAAGGTTTCACAGGCTTCTAGTAACTCTTTTCTTATGTCTTCCGAAATTCGGAGCGAGGAGTCACGGCCTTTGCGTCTAATGGTAGACGTAAGCTTCCTTTGTGTCTTACGGAGGAACAACGCAAGCCAGGGGATTGCTTGGGTGTAGTACACGAATTTTCCCACTACAGTCTCGAGTAAGTGGGTTTTTGTTTTCCCCTCCGTGCTCGCTAGCGTGGCCCTGGTTAAGGTTGTTAGAGCTTCTCGCTTTTGCACCGGGATCGCTAGACTAGGTGGCAACGATGACACGCAGAGACCCAGATACTCAATTGATTGCCGGGGGAATGTTAAAGACTTTTCCCAATTGATGGTAAACCCTAGTGAAATCAGCGTTTGTGAGGTCAAGTTCAAATCATGGATCGCTTCGTCTCTAGACGCGGCAGCTATGAGGATATCATCCAGATAGACTACGCATCTGACTCCCTGACTTCTCAAATAGTTTATGGGTACTTTCATCAGCTTGGTGAATACTCGCGGGCTGTCGTTTAACCCAAATGGGAGTACTGTGAACCTGTACGCCTTGGCTCCCACCTTGAACGCTAAGTAGGGGGTGTGCTCTTCGCAGATGGGTACGTGAAAGTATGCATCCTTCAAGTCTAGTTTCAGCAGGAAATCTCCTGAGCGAACTATCTCGCTTATTGATCGGACTGTATCCATTTTAAAATGGGTGTGTCGTAGTCGCTTGTTTAAAGGCTTCAGATTAATAATTGGCCTTAGCGACCCGTCTGGCTTGGGGACCGTAAAAATCCGAGAAAGGAAGATCGGTTCACCAATTTTGCATTCTACTATTGCGCCCTTGGCTTTCAGCTGATTAACTTCTACCGCAATAGCCTCTACTTGGGCGTTGGGTTCTACGCTGCCGTCTGCTGGAGTCAAAGCAGGGGGAGGTCCATTAAATCTAAGCCGGTAGCCCCGTACTGGTTCTAGTAGGGATTCGCAGGGTGTCAGCGCTTTCCAAGCTGCTTGGAAGTGTTTTAATCTTCCCCCAATAGGTAACAAATTAAAATTGTACCTCGGTGCGGGTTGGCGCTCCTGACGATCCGCGCGAAGACGCTTGCTTGGAGGTCCCCCTTCTATGCGTCGTTGTCCCGATGACGCTCCTCGGGTGTCCTTTGCTGGTGTACGTAATCGTTTCAATTCTAAAGGCAAAAGTGAACACATGAAAGGACTTTTAAAAGCCACCCACTTGAAACTAAATCTGATCCTCCTCGCTCCTCGAGCTTCTTGATCAGCTTAGGGCCAAACAGTGGCGGACGATTCCCGCGGGTGGACTCCTCATGGACTTCCACGTCCAGGATTCCCTTTGCCGCTTCTGGCAAAACGTTGTGGATGTTAAGATGTAGCGCTCTAAAGAGAAACGATACTCTACTTACAGCGATCAACCTACTTGAACACATTATCTCGTTGCAGGTAGGTGAGCTGGGAGCAAAGGGCAGCCAGAATGTGTTCCACGGTGTCCAAGTAACTGACGGCTTTCTTCTCGTTTCCCAGCGAGAGTAGGTGTTTGCTAATTGAGACGCAACCAAGCGAACTTCTAACGGCTTCGTCAAAAGTCCTGGCCATGCTTGTTGAGAGTTGCATCCTTCCCGGTTGTGCGTCTCCTTGCAGTTGGCGGTCCAGGATTGGCGTATGTGCCAAGTGATGTCCCTGTGGAGACGGAACCTTCTCGAGGAACGTCTTCAAATCCGACAATCGCCACCCGTTTCCTCCTGCCTGAATGGCAAAATGTTTCACCGCCTCGTCCGGGAGCGGAAAGATTGGTCGTTCCGGTTGAAGTTCCACCGTCGGCGCTTCCGGAAAATTCTTCTCGCTTTCGTAGACCTTCGGGATCCTGTATCGGCCTCTGCTTGGAGAGCTATCTCGTGACGTTGAGCGAGAACGAGAGAGAGACGCTGGCGAGCGGTCACAGCTTTCCTCCGAGGAAGTCCTTGATCGCGATCTTGGCGACCTCGAATTTTGTCGAGAATGTGGCGCGGGCGGGGGCACGACATCCATCCTCTAAAGAAAAAAGATTTTTATGGGGTCTTGAAGGTGGCACCCGGGAATGATTTGCTACGACCCAAAGGGCTCGTCAAGCTAAATCTACCCCACCTTGAGCGTGGCAAATCATTCCCGATTAGCCAAAAGCTTTACGCTCGAAAGAGAAAACACAACAAAAAGAATTGTTCTGCTAAAGCGAAATGAAGGTATAAACGTCGACCCCTCTGAGGAAAGCAACGTTTAAATGACGAGTAGATGTTCTAAGAGAACATGATGAACGGTTGAGAATAGTTCGCGCCGCGATGCTATTCAAAAACCGGCGAGAAAACGGCTTGTCTCGAAAAAAAAAAGTGAGGTAATGAGAAAGGGCGTCGCCTTTTATAGGGCGATCCCGACACGGAGCATCGCGTACGCACTACGGTGCCGCTAGTGCCTTTTAGAAAATCACCGAAAACGGTGACTTGCTAAAGGTACGGAGTTAAAACGAGATAACGGTGGTTTTCGGCGAAAAATAGCAATTGTTGAGCTTTTAAGCTTGTGTAGTATAATTACACATTGCTAGTTTTTTACTTACATTTTGCAATGGTATTTAACTGTTTTTAAAATATAATAGTTTACAGTTATGGACAGAGTTTGGCTGTATCAATATTCTTTTCAGACATTCATTGATTGAAAAGGTTATGCCAAAATCAGAAGAATTGTTCAAGAACAAGAGGAGTAGAAATGCACGGATACATGGATTAAATTGAATGGAAAGAACACAAATAGACCCTGTTAAAGTTTTGGTTATTTTCGAGAAACGATTGAACCCCAGTAAAGATCTACTATTAAGTTAGTTTAATTGAATTCTAGAAATTGAATTGTAAAGTTAAGATCTTGTATCCAAGCCCGCTTCTGGGCGATCAAAGAAATCGGCGGGAATCGGCCATAAGTAGTCGCTTACCGTAAGCGTACTCTGATTTCTCCATTTTGCTTAGTTTTTCACTCAAAACACTTGCTTCAATACCATATCCTTTCAATTCGATCGAATCAATGCGGACGATTCCATCGTTGTAAAGAAATATTCTTTGCGTGCTTGGTACTCTTCACTCAAGACACGTTATTTCTTGTTTTGAGATATCTGATCTCTCTTGAACTAAAAAAAGCACTTTATTCAATAGCCGATTGATTCGGAATCTTTGGGCTCTCACTTGAGCAACTTTCACACAATATCGACAATTGAATTAAAGTGACGATAAAAACAGAAGCAATTTCGTCCTAATTAGGACACAACTTTCACACAAAATCAGAGGATAGCAGAAAAAACAAATGAAAGATAACCAAAAAACAAATTCACAACAGTTGCCTTATATAGGCTTTAACACAAGATACTCAGCTAACAAGCTACAAAACAATAAATGATTTGGGGCGCGAAATAAAATGAAGGCGCACCGATTTCCTTAATATTTTTCCAATTTTTAGGCTGTCAGAGTTAGATAACTTTTAGTGGCTATTCGCCACAATCGTGTTCGCGATCATTTCGATGATGATCTGTGGGAACAAGAAAACCAGCTCGATCTTCTCGCAAAAAGTTTGGGATCTTTCGAAAGGGAAGCCCCGATTCAGCAATTATTGGATCGGTGGAATCTTCGGGGTTGTTTATTTTATGCGTATCGAATAACGTGACGTGAACATTGGTTTTTCATCATCAAATTTTGAGGACTTAATATGGTTTCGACCTTTATAAGCTGACGAGGGCTCAAGGCGAAGGAGTGTGACTGAGCTCAAGATCAACATATCGTTGATCGTTTCAACAGACCCTAAACTTCAACGTATCAGTACAATCGTATCTATAGACTCAAGAAGAATCTGTGAGCATAAGAAAACCATTCGATTTTTCTCGATCTTCTCTCAAGCAAACTGTCAAATTTCTCACTAGCTCTTCACAAATAAGTGCACCAGTCCATTCTTATTCATTTCTCTGTTCTTCAGTACGAAAAAACTGCTTGTAAAACTATCAACGAATCGGCCCTAAAAAGAGTCCACCTTTTTTCAGTTTCAAAGCTTTTTGTGGCGCATTAAAATTTCTGATCAGATTAACTCCTAAAAGTGAGAGCGTCTTTCTTGCTTTTTTTATAGAACAAACTTTGAACAGTTTGCATGGAGGTAATCCATTCTTTGTGACTCAAAAAAAGACTTGGCTCGTTTTACGACCATTCCCGAAATTGAGGAAATATTTCGTTTCGCGACCTTTACTCTTATCTCCCTGTTTCCGTACTTAAGCGCCGTCAAAGAGAAGAAGAAATGAAGTCTTCTTCATTCTTCATTCATTGCCCTTTTCTAATTTTTAATGATTTTATAGCTTTAGAGAAATGTTTCTTTTCAAACTTGGGCTTCTTAGCTTTCTCATAATCTTTGGGCGAATCGAGGCGCATTGGGTAGGCGTTCAGTCAGTCTTTAGGCGTTTGTTAAGGCTTAGGCTTAGGAGTCCAAACAGCAACAAAATATACCAGAATACATTGTGTGCTGCTAATCCTTACATCCCTAAACATGTTTTACTTTGAAAAATGGTCTAATTGAATTATCAAAAGACCGAGGATGAGGGAGTGAGAAACAAATTTGGACAATTCTAAATGTGTACAAAATTGTAAATCATGATGCCAAGCTATGGCTATTATACTTTTAAGGTTAACATCGTCTCGAATTTGGATTATCTATAACAGTAGTATGATTGGCTTTAGATCGGAGAAGAGTACTGGACGATCATCGACTGGAATGGTGCCATTACTGATGGCCGATCGGTTGACGACTTTTTGGAGGTTTCTAATCGAAGATATGCATTGCTTGAATCGGATCATCGATCAAAATCATTGATAACTCGGATCATTGATAAAAATTCAGTTAAAAAACTTCTTTTCAGATCCCCGGACCAGATGGAGGCACAACGCCAAACGGATGGGTGGCTTATTGGCGAGTTTTTAGGAATCACTAATCCTTGAACATCTTTTCAAGTATCTCCCTTTCATGAGAAGTTTATTTTCTATCGTTAAACTAATCACATTTACAGGATAACCCGAACAAAGTACCCGGAGATCCACTACGAAGCGTTCGGCCATGCAATCAAAAGAGATGATGGACGGGTGAGTAGGGTTTTCGCAGGTTGATGACAAATGCAAGTACTAGGTAAATCTAAATCAATCGAAAATCCTTGCTACAATTAAAATCAAGAATTCACTTTCAGATCTGCGGCTATTTTGTTGGCGAGGAGGAAGAAGTTGTTGAGGTGTGCGCTGGCTTTCGAATTCTCTCCCGTCATCGAACTGATCAAGCTGATGCTAAAGTGTTGGTCACTTTGGCTATAACCTATTTTTTATAGCTGGTTTTATAGCAAAAAGCATAATTTTTGTACTTTATTATTTAGCTTTCAATGGGTGTTGGCCGGGCATGTGACGAATCGGGATGAGACAGTCGGATTCGTTCTTCATCGAATCGCCAGCACTAGACATGGGGAACAGGTGAGTCAATAAATAAAAGCATGATGTTTCTTCTGAAGAAGAGCTACATCAGGATAACTATTAAAATTGGTCTTTCTTTTGAACAAAACTACATTATCAGCACAACTTAAACCTCTCTTGTTTCACTTACAATTAGCAAAATGTCGATGAGCTTCCAGATCATTTACGGTGATGCGATGCTGTTGGACCGGCGATTCAAAGCCGTTCGACCAGCAGTGTTCGAGGATTCGATTATAAAAGTATCATTTTGTTTATATCTTTTTTATTTACACTTAATCTGCTTTATATTCTTTACCTTTGTCATCTTACATCCCGTTCAGATCGGTGTACACGAGTTTCCCTCAAGGGTTTACCTTCTTGTCAAGCTCACTCCCGAAGTTGGACCGATTCGAACCGGACTTTATGAAGTGACTTGGATCATTGAAAACATTTTAAAATATTCTATTCACAGGGTCACTACCACGATCCACACACAGATCATAAAGCTCACGGACGACATGGACACCCTTTGCCGCTTCACCGACCACGAGCTGTTGAGACTAGATCAGCTAGTGAGTAGTAGATGAATTGCTCACCATAATAAAGTAAAGGAATGGCAAAGGGAGATTTCTAGAGAGGGGATTGAACCCTCGACATTTTTGCTTTCCGGGCAGAGGCACTAACCACAAAGCTAGTCGGTATCTTCTTTCCAAAGAAAGAGGAAATACAAGGGGAAGAGAAAGGAAGAAAGAAAAGGAATTCATAAGTCAATTCTCAATTCAGTTTGCGCTCCCGGCTGGTACGGTAGGGAATGTTCGGAAAGATGCTCTGAAGGATGTGAATTTCCGGAGAGATGTGATTACACTTCGGGATACTGTTCAAGTTAGTTAGCATCATTAGATTCCAAGCTCTCGATTTCTGGAATTGTAGATCAATATGATGATTTCAGGGTGTAAACAAGGGTGGTACGGAAGTGGTTGCTCGCTAAGATGTTATGCAGGATGTGAGAGCTGTGATCAAAATACTGGTCACTGTTTGAGTGAGTCACTTTGATATGTCTCAAAACTAATTTGCTCTGTATTACGAATTTGTGCATTTCCTTGACGTGGCTAGACCTGTGCGCTTGAATGAATAGCAAAGCCAAGTTTATTCAATGCACGTGGGTCAAAGCGTGTGAAAATGTTTCAACGAAGCTCCAAGAAACAATGTGTTGACCCAGAAACAGAAAGGAATCACTTTGATGAAAATTGTGAAAGTACGAACAAAAGAAAACAACTTTCACAAGACCAAATAAGAGAAAATTCTGACTAAATGAGGAAGAAGGTGTTCTTTTATACGGGTGCGAGTGCGACATTGTTTAGGGTACGGTATTTCTGGTGTCTTATTAGACTGCGGCAGCTTTTTGGTGACTCGTCGTCAAAATATATGTACAATTTACACATTGCTATCTTTTTGTAACCGATTTTCTATAGAATGACTCGATTTAGGCTGTCGCTTTGGATATCATGGCAGAGACTGCTCGACGAGATGTCCAGAAAATTGTGACGCGTGTGATCAATCAACTGGCTATTGTTTGCGTGGGTTTATCGGCAATTTCATCCTAAGTTCTGTTCATTTTTATAATGTCAATCAAGATTCCTAGCTTCTTAGATGCTTTAGGTTGTAAATATGGATGGTACGGTAGAGACTGCTCGGTGCGATGCCCTGCCGACTGCGAAACATGTGATCAGGCTTCGGGACAGTGCATCAGTGAGTGAAAATAGAAACAAATTGGCTTAATAAATTAAAGATTTCAAATAGCACAATTAAAATAAAGAATGCAATAGAAAGCTGACAAAAGTTTAGACTTCCGAGCTCGTCCACCTCCATCTCAACCTCAATTTTCACCACTTCCAAAAGGCTGTCACCGAGTGGTCACCAAGGATGGCCGAGAATTTGTGGTCACTTAATCCACATCAAAATTTGCGAACCCCTATTTAGAGCTGTTATCCGTATCACCGTTCTTCAAACAATACTAACGATAATGACAGTGTGGAAGCATCGGACAAACGCCTACAAGATCCAAGATCAAATCCAGTTAACCGTAACTACGATCCAATGTATAATAATTAGCAGTTTTTTGATTTATTGTTTGATGTTTCAGTTTTGATCCACGCTCTTCACTCTACGATCCACGATACAACCCATTTGATCCACAGTATGATGTTGAGAAAGACAGGGAGTGAGTGATGAACGATTGGATTCAAAGGATAAAGATTTACACATGCATAGTCAAGCATATATACTGCATTAATATAATAGTTGAACAATATTGTATAGTAGTAGAAGTTTAGGGAATTCTGGACAAAAAATCTTTGAAATATTTCAGATGGCGGGCCGCCAACCAGGTAACTGAGGATCATTCGGTGAGTTGGAATGTTCATGAACTGAAATGAGCTGTGCAAGTGTCTAGTTCTCTAACAGGACACTAAATAAACAAATTTCATTAGCTAGCTACTGAAATTGCCATTTTTTCCATTTCAATCATGTGCTTTGAGTACGACAACGTTTCAGGATCACGATCACTCTTAAGGAAGATCACGATGAATGTGTGCAAAATGATAAATGATGAACCTTTTTAAATCAAACAAATTTTATAAGCATGCAAGCGTTTTTAAATTACGCACAAATTTGGAAGCATCTGCTTTATGGAAACGGTTTTAAAACAAAAAATATGTATTCAACTTCATTTTCCAAGACACATTGTAGGACACATTGTACATCATCACAGCCAAGACACCAAGACCACCACAAGCATTTTACACGAAACCCCGATTTGCGAGCTAAAGGTAAAATGATACGATATGTGTTCTTTAAAGTTTTCAATCGTCTATGGGAAACCAGGCCATTTTCCAAATAACAGACTTGGTTTACGTAAAAGGAAACTCTCAAATTTCTCACTAGCTCTTCACAAATAAGTGTACCAGTCCATTCTTATTCATTTCTCTGTGCTTCACCACAAAAAACTGCTCGTAAAACTATCGGCAAATCGACCATAAAAAGAGTCCACCTTTTTTCAGCTTCTGATCGCATTAACTCCTAGAAGTGATAGCGTCTTTCTTGCTTTTTTCACAGAACAAATTTTGAACAGTTGCATGGAGGTAATCCATTCTTTGTGACTCAAAAAAAGACTTGGCTCGTTTTACGACCATTGAGGAATTGAGGAGGCTTTTCGTTTCCCGACCTTTATTTTTATCTCTATTTTCCCCTACTCCAGCGGCGTCAAAGAAATGAACAGGTGAAGTCTTCTTCATTCGCACAAATTTACTGCCTTTTGAAATTTCTAATGACCTTACGGTTTAGAGAATTGTTTTTTTTTAAAAACCGGCACTTGTTAGCTTTCTCGTAATCTTTGGGCGAATCGAGGCGCATTGGGTAGGCGTTCAATCAGTATTTGAATTTTGTACCACAGTGTAAATAAAACCTTTGTTTGCGTTCATAATCACGCTAATTCGACCACAAAGTTTTGTTTGCAAGGCCAAAAATTACACGCTGCTAATCCTTACATGCCTAAACCGTGTTTTACTTTGAAAAAAGGTCTGATTGAATTATCAAAGGACTTACCGCTTGATCTACCAAGAATAATGCTATACTAAGAAAAGATCTGTACAGTTTCAATCATCCAAATCACTCACCGCAAGAATGTATGTTTGAGAGAACGAATGAGAATCGACGAATCGAATCATTTTCCCTAGCTTCCCAATGTCCTTTTATATTGTACCGATGGAGCCAAGCAACACATTGACATTATCTACACTGAGCAAGGTATGCTATTGATAGAAAAGGGAAAGAAATTCAAGCATTTCAACAGAGATTATAAAGAGTTTAGGGAAAGTGTCCAGCAGATATGTGTTCATATCGGTGATTGTAACAGTGCTCGAAAGGGGCTTTGGAAAATAAAAAGCAGCGATCGTACAAATAAAGCATTGCTAAATACTGTTTTTGTTTTGTTCCAAACACAGAATTTGTCAAAACTTTAGCGTATCGTCATTATTCACTCAGATTGTTGTGCAACTGAGCTAGTCAAAAAACAAAAATTCCCATTAAACGCTTTATTGTAAAAACTAATTCTGGAATCCATCTTCAAAGAGATTATTATCCGGCAGCCTTTGCAATACAGAGTCCCCTTGCTGGGCCGCATGGAGCAGTTGTTGGTGGGCAAAGAGAGCAAATCTCACATGGAGTGGCCGCAGAATTGTATGGAGGAGAATTGTTGGTCATTCCACTGAAAACAATAAATACTTGAGATCAGTTTGAAATCACTATTCGATTCATTCATTTGTCACAGCCTCCTTACCCGTTTGTTTGAAGAAGACAAGTGATACGATAAGTGCTTGTGTAATTCTTGTAAGCACAACCGATTGACAAAGCATTCTCACCAACAAACTAAACAATTCTTTTAAATACAAAAAGTGAGTTACTCTTTTTACCATCCAAACTTGATTTTGATAATGCTGATCTCTGGTGATCGTTGTCGACAATTTGTATTGATAATTGAAGGTTGGAACTCCAGTTGAGGTCAAATATCCATACCACCAATTGTTCCATCCCTCCTCAACTGTAACTCGTCAGGTATCGAAAACCAGTCTTCCTCCCCTAGTCAGTGCATATAAATCAAAAACCTACACATTTGTTGCCCGGTAATTGTGTTGACTCCAGCTGTACCCGCCCAGAATCCAACGTTGATTTCTCCAGCTCCAAATGAATCTCCACGAGCATCCATCCATTGTGCAGCTGTTGTTGCAAGTGTGGCATTCCATTTCTGAAAACATCTCTTAACTCTTTTTCATAACAATCACTCACCAATGAATAGAGTTTCTTTGCTGGTGGCCAGAAAGAGTTTGACTAAAGCATTCAGATCAAAAAGATATCGAGGGAAGGAATCACCGGATTTGACGAGTTGTGCCAAGACTGACGACCCCAAGCGACATTCGAACGGAGTTGATTGACTTGCTAAAAAGGGTTTAATCCAAGATACTACGAATGTCATTTTGTATCTGCTTCACCCATTCAAATCACTCACCGCAAGAATGTAGTTGGCGACAGCAGCCGTATAGGGAACAGCCGTTGCTCCAGTTCCTGCAGCTACTCCGATGACTGGAGGGCCGTATCCAGAAATATTTGTGGCTGCGGTGGCTAAAAGTCATAATTGGCAGCTTTTGGTTTACTTTAGTTACCAGCTACAAGAATCGCAATAATTGAAAGAACACTCATGTTTGAGAGAACGAATGAGAATCGACGGATCGAATGATTTCCCTTGCTTTCCCATGTCTTTTTATACCACTTTTTGTACCAGATTCCGATGATCTTTCTCTTTAATCCCAGTTGATATTTCGTTTTTCTATTCAATTCTAAATTTGCCCCAAATCGTACGATGATTTGTGACTTCTGAAAGGGAACACACAAAATGAACCTGATCGAATCCAATTGATCTTTCGTTCCTCGGATCAACAGGGCCAGTGAATTCAAAATGATCTATTCAAGGTGTTCTATATTGGGATACGGATCAAACAACAGCCGGAATTTTTCAATGTACCTGGGGATTTTTGGTAAGAATTGAATGATGAAAATTAGATGAGGTCAAACTTTGGAGTTAGTGAAATGATCGATGAACTTTTCAGAGTAAACTTAATGTCGTTTGTTCAATGGATAAAGTGCTTTTTTTTCTTGCTTTATTGAACTACTTTTTTCAAGGTTGCGGTAAGTTTTTTAAGGTTCAAGGTTTTTTTCAATCACAAGAAATCAGACATTTACTATTGACTGTCAATAACACAATGTTTTACTGAATTTCTCGAGATTTCTCCGTGTTTGTGAATTCTTGAAAAGAGTGCTATTCCTATAAAAAGAATTGCTGAAACTGTTTGACAGAAAGCGAAATTGCTGGAAATCCGGCCTCCAAACCTACACTTTACCGTAATGTTTTGAGAAAATTTCTCGATCAACACGTTTGCACCTAGTGGAAGTGGAAGTGGTTTAGAGCTGTAAGAGCACCATTCACCTGATCACTTGATCTGATTCCACTTGATCCTACAGTCACCATCACAAAATTCTCCTTTTGGGGCCACCAAGTGTGGTGCAATCGCCCTGAAACAATTGATGTTTCATGAAATTATACGATTTTTTTTCCAGCTTTTGTCAATTGTTTAACTTACAGTTAAACAATCTTCTAATAGGTTGATGCATAAGTCTTTTCGTTTTTTTCGTACTTCTGTTAAAAAGTAACAAATTCACCAATTAATCTATAGTTTGCTCTAAATATCAAACTTTTTTTTTCTCTATCTTTTATCTATTGACACGAAGATAGGTTTTCTTTAGCTAAGGTGTCTAAACCGCATCATCGAGTTAGCCCTTTTTGACTACCCGACTTCATACTCTCAAGAAAATCCAGGCATAAAATATTTTTAAACCCGTTTTAATGTTATTTTGCAGAAAAATAATTGGTTTTTCTAATGAAATCAACCGTAGTTTAATTGGTGCATTTGTTGGCTTGAAACGGCAGACGAAAAGGAACGAAAAGACTTATGCATCAACCTAATAGCTGATATTTTGTCGTTTGTCTCTTGTCTTTGTCTTTTGTTCAATGGATCAAGTGCTGTTTTCTCTTGGCTTTATTGAACTGCTTTTTTCTAGGTTACGGTAACAAGAAATCAGACATTTACTATTGATTGTAAATAACACAATGGTTTAATGAATTTCTCGAGATTTCTTCGTGTTTTTGAATTCTTGAAGAGTGCTATTCCCATAAAAAGAATTGCAGAAGCTTCAAGTTACTTTGAAAGTCGGATATAAAATTGAGTTGTTTTTGCTTCATATTTTACTATTAGTTTCTTGAACAAACTGAAATGATTGACCTATTTTATTGGTGATTTCTAAAAAAAGGAAGTAGAAGGTACAATTCATGCAGAAAGTGAGATTGCTGCAAATCGGGTCTCAGAACTATTGAATTCTTGAAAAGTGGTATTCCCATAAAAAGCTGTTGCTGAATTGCTGAAAGTGTTTCACAGAAAGTGAAACTGATGAGACCAAAGTTTCTATTTCTGAAGCAAAATTCCGAACTTCATTCAGCATTTCCATTCATCTTTTTGTGTACCATAGTAAACATTCCCAAAAAACATTGCACTTCAAATATCTTTAGGCAATAAAGGTTTAATATAAAATGAGGAAAATTGAAAGTCAAGGAAAAAAGCTGTGTTATGCAAAAAGCTATGCAAAAAAGCTAAGCTATGCTTGAAATTTTCCATTCTCTCGACCAAAATCCATTCTAACAAAAGAGATTCAGCTTTTCTCACTAAAAATGGATAAATCAACTCAAATATTCTCCTTAATTTTCCTCCTGGATGATTTCTAGGAGGCAGGAAGTAGAATTCATGCAGAAAGTGAAATTGCTCCAAATCTGGTCTCCAAATGTACACTTTACTGTAACATTTCTCAGCAAATTTCTCGATCAACACGTTTGCACCTAGTCATTTAGTTGTCGGCATAAAGTACCCATTATCTCGAACGACTAGATATAATATCTAATTTATGAG